CATCATGCCCCCTCTCCATCTAGCCCCCAACCGTCATGCCCCCTCTCCATCTAGCCCCCAACCATCATGCCCCCTCTCCATCTAGCCCCCAACCAATATGCCCCCTTCTCCATCTAGTCCCCAACCATCATGCCCCCTCTCCATCTAGCCCCCAACCCTCATGCCCTCTCTCCATCTAGCCCCCAACCATCATGCCCCCTATATGTATTATTAGAGACCTTTAGCATTACGTTTACCACTTACTGCTAACCACTAACTGCAAGAAATCTGACGGAAAATGCTAGATGTTGGACTGCAGTTTGAGGTTTGCAGGGCTAGCAAGATCGTCATACTAAAGGTCTCTAATATTTACAGAAATAAACATAAAACCAAAGTTCTTTTTGCTGTGTAATAAACTCAGCAGTCTGTGAAGGATTAGTCTTTGCTTCCATTCCCGGTTTCGATTCTTCAACTACTTCAAAGTGTTTCTTGATTTTATTTGCATTATTAGTTCACCTTATTAATTTTATTAAATATAACATATACATAGGGGGGCTAGATGGTCAAGGGCTAGATGGAGAAGGGGTATGTTGGTTGAGGGATACATCCAGAGGGTGTATGATGACTAGATTTCTTTCAACCATCCACTCACCCAGCCAACCAGCAATCATTCATCTGTCTCTCAATCATCCGTCTGTCTCACAACCATTCTACGTAGTGTTTAATAAACGAGCAGAAGTGTTTTATCAGGATTTAAAAACCTGAGGCATAGCCGAGTGTTTTTAGACCTGATAAAACACGATCTGCAAGTTTATTGAACGGCTTCAAAAACTGATGATGTAAGTTCTCATATTGTACGGAATTCTTTACGAAAAGAACCAAGTTTGATAGAGAAAATCCAAGTTCAAGGTTATGCAAATGAAGACGAATCTATATCCGATATAAAATCACCTCCATGGTCATGATTTCTATTGTGTTTCCTTCGTGAATTATTAATAAGTTTTTGAATAATACAAACATTTGCACCTACTTTTACTGTAAAACATCTTTGCCATTTGTCCCTAAAATTTAAATTTATTTTGATTATATTAAAAAAAAGAAAAGATGTAAAAGACTGCAATGGTTAAAGTTATTTCATTAGTTCCACGCGGTCCACATACTCTCATCTTTGCAATGGTTAAACCAAGGACAAAATATGGACATTACTGAAAAATGGTCAAAGAAAAAAATAAAAATAAAAGAGAGAGAAAGGACTTTCCATATGGTAGCAGGTAGTCCATACCATTTCAACTCTTGTTGTAATTTCATAGAGGTGCTGTTCAGGTTTATCTTTTGAAAAGTCTGAAAAATGATAGAAAAATATTAATTATTCAATATTATATAAAGGATATTATATGGGCGCACGAAATTTATCTTCGAGTGTTGAAAAGATCTCTAACGAGTGAGCGCAGCGATTTTCAACACGAGAAGATAAATTTCGTATCTCCAAGCGCCCATGTAATATTCTGTTTATTATATAATTATCCATAAAATCAACTTAATAAGCTTTTTATTATTATAAAAAGTTTTTATTTATAAACTAATAGCTTAAAGTGTATATGACACGAAAACATTTCATCGTTTAAAATGTATAGTTTGTTAATAATAATAAATATGTCGTAATAAAATTTGTTTCAAAAGCTTATTTCTTGAGATATTTGAGAAAATTAAGCCCAATTTGTGACGTCATTTTGTTGACACGTACTCTAGATTCGGTAGAAATGCACTAAATATAAATTGTAATTCTTATAAAATAACAACAAAAGGCATATTCTATTCAGCTTCATTTGATAGCTTACGAAATACTCTTCAAATGGTGGGAAACTGAAAAGTGTACTACCCGAAATTAAGATTCTGCATTCAAACAAATTTCGTGTATTTGCAACTAAATCTGGAGACTTGTAAACAAAATGACGTCACAACATGCGCTAAATTTTCTTGAATTTCTAGAGAAATACGTTTTTGAAACAAATTTAACTGTGATATTCTTATTCATGCCAATAGAATACACATTTTTAACATTAAAATGTTTTCGTGTCATATGCACTTTAAATACACATGGTAACGATATTTTCACATGTTCAGTTTTTCGAAAAGGAGAAATRTAGGTATTTTATGGATAATTATATGATAAATAATATTATTAACTATTAATTTTGTCAAATGTCATATCATGTGCTGTGCTCTAATTATTAATAAAGAAAGTATTGTAGTATTCTATTCAAGTAATAAAATGAAATACTCTTTTCATACTGATTGACCTAGAAATTCCAACCAGTTTCAACTCTAGTTCTGTCTTGTTAAAAATTGTGAAAGCTATATAGTACATAAGAATTTGAACAACAATCTATCATATGATTGCATTGGTATTTTTTAATTTCAAATCTCCTAATAGACATATTTTCTTTGTTTCTTCCTTCCTTCCTTCCTTCCTTCCTTCCTTTCTCTCTTTCTTTTTTTCTTTTTTTGCAAAATAGGTTTTATCTATATTCTCTATTATGAAAATGCCCATCTTCAACTTACCAATTAATGGCTCCTTTTCTCCATCTAAGCTGTCAAAATCCTCAACATTCTCACTATGACTACCATCAGCTTGCTCAGCCTCTGTATACCTATTGACAACTCCTTGTTGTTCCTATACATACAAAAACACCAGTTGTTTAGATCCTATGACATATATATACCAGCTTACGGCTCCCTGGTGCAAATCTTAAACTTGACAAACCCTAGAATCAGGGAGGTCATAGTGCACTGCGCTAGCTAATGTATAATATGATTGTTGGCAAAATCCCACTTATTTGATTGCTTGTGATGCAACAACTTCTGGAGGAAATTGATCTACATGTAGCTGCTCAGCTCATCATTATATAAAGCCTAACTGAAGTTAATTAAGTTAATTTACCGTACTGGTTTGATGCTTGACTTTTTTTTATTTATCAGTTTGCCAATCAGTTCCCMCCCCCCCCCCCCCAACCCACCCTCCACAAATCAACTTCTACACTGTAAATCCCAATTCAATCTAGTGGTAGCCTTAACTTATCAAGTGAATTGCAAAACCTGTCAGCCTTTCTGTCTGTAAGATATGGACATACCAGTTTCTCCTTGGCTTTTATTCTCAGCAGTGCATTAGCTGCAGCCATTGCCTCTACCATGAATGTTGCTGTAACAAAGCTATGAAGAGATGGGAGCAGCATAAGTATATAATAATAATAATAATAATAATAATAATAATAATAATAATAGCAATAATGATTTTTTATTACTAAATAATAATAATGATGATGATGATGATAGGGATGATGATGATCATGCATCATCATCATCGTCATCATCACCCTCATCATCTTGCAATATAACACACTGTAATATAACACTGGATGCAACTTATGACGTAATGCATGATTCTATTTCAGAGCTGAGTGGGCCTTGTACATGTGTAAACTTTGCATGCATGCATAAAAAAGTCGTAAACAAGCGATCAAGTGTCATTCACCTGACTCATTACTAGCTGTACTCCTGTTCATCGTGCTGGTCATGTGAGACACTTAACAAATAATATCATCAAAGAAAAAAAATATTTCTCTTCAGTATTCTGTTTATATGCATTTCTCAAACAACTGGTAGCTGTTTAATACATTTGGGTTTCTCCATTTGAAATATTATGAGCCAATGCTTCAATTATTTATGTATTACAAATCACATCAACGAGAAAAGTAAAATATTTTTCAAGACAAATGACTCGTAAAGCGAAACCATGGACGTATCTATTTACCTCATAAATGCTAATAATCCTATCAAAACCAACGAAACAAGCCATCCAGCACCTGCGAAAGCTTTGGGCATCGTTAGAGCTCCAACCCCAATAATAAGATTGAAGATGTAAATGAAAGCAACCTGGAAATGCAAGAAATGCAAAGAGTTTTGTGAAGGTCTTTTAGCTCTATCGGCTCTCTTCTTGTTCGACAGGATAACAGCGTTAAAACTTCTAGATTTAGGAATTTCTCTTTCCAAATATAATCGGATATACTTTTGTGGTAAGGCAAGTCTTAAGGAATAATAAAGAAAGGTAGTATCCCCACAGCTGAAGGTCGAAAATTTATAAATTGGATGACTGAAAACGTGTGGACGTCGAACATTTGGCGTTCTTCAGCTCCTGATCTCCTCGTAAAACTTACCGGAGATGAATACAGCTCTCCAGTTTCTGTGACGGCAGCCATTACGACTTTTCTTTCACAAATCGAACTGTTCTCGAGGAATCAAAACTTTATGATTGAGAAAATATATAAGCTTACAAAGATGCGATCGTCCATGACAAATGACCAAGTCACAAGACTTCCGGTGAGTAGACTGGACCCTACGCGGACACAAAAGTTGAAAAAGACTGGCCTGGTGAGAAAAAGCGTTAACCACGTGGTCACGTGGGTAGGATTTAAATAAGTATATCTAGCTATATTATTTATAGAAGATGAAAATTAATGGCTCAACTATTTTAGTTGGAGATAAAGTGGTGCTGGTTCCTTACAGAGAAGAACATGTACCAAAGTATGGCCTGCCTACTATGGCCAGTTGTATAAGTGTACATATATATTCATACGATATTCATACACAACTTTTAATATTCCATACCATTGGTAATACTGCCAATCAGAATGCAGGGAAGCCATTTTATACTCAGTAGTATTCCACTGTACCTTAATATCAGGCATTTCAGCATAGATGTATGTTCAATGCTATGAAATATATACATTATTTTATACAAGAAGAGGTAACTAACCAAAAACTTGTGTGAGCTGCGTCACTGTTTCCAAATGAAACAGTAATGATAAAGGCTGGAAATTAATTTAACACTTTGAAAAAATGAAAAAACTTACTGACTTTTTGGACACTAGTCCTTCGTCAGAGTCTGGGAAAGAGAATAATTTCTATTGCCAATAAGTTGAAGGTATACTAGAAGGTTTTGGTATGCCTCATGGTATATTCCATGATATACCACCCAACACTGGCATTGTACATTAGTATAGGGTACCACATATGCTTTTGCTCAATTTGGTTGATTTAATTCAAGGTATCATGATTGGATGCAGTCCCCAGAACTGCTTGAACAAACAGCATCAGAGAGACTAACACTATCTCAGGAGTATGATATGCAGAGAAGCTGGTACGAAGATGAACACAGTGAGTTTAGCTACAATAAATGTCATAAACCTGTAAGAGAATACCAAACACAGCTGTGCCAGATAGCACTTATGAATTATCAAAACTTTTTCACAATTAGTTCACTAGACTATACACAACAGGAAAAAAACCGGATTCCCAAATTGGGAATTTGTTGGGAATTTCCTTGAATTCCCAACGAATTCCCATCCAATTCCCAGAGGGAACGAAATTGGGAATGTGGCACTGATTCCCAATGTTAGTTTGTTGAGAATTTTGTTTTTCTATTGGGCATTAAAAGGAAATTCCCAATAATAAATCCCAATGTTGGTGTTCAAATTGGGAATTCAAGGAAATTCCCAACAATTCCCAATTTGGGAATCTGTTTTTTTTTTCCCTGTGGAATCAAAATAGACCTATTTACTGATATGGCAGCCATCTTGAATTATGGGATGCTGAGGGGGCAAACAAGTTAGAACATTTTTAATGAATAGAGTGACGGGGTTATCACATTTTCAAATAATTTGAAGTCTTGGTGTTTCGCATATTGTTAAAACTACCAACTATAAAGTTATATAAAAAGACATCCTGATGGCTGGGCAGTCTTTAAATTTTCTAATAATTGCCCCTTCTGCATCCCATAACGACTTTATTAAAACAATAACATTTGAGATGGCCACCTTGGTAAAAATGAAGGTCTTTTGACTAACAAATTGTTCTGGACTGACTAGCCTTGTGTTTATGTCGAAACAGAAAAGCATTTCTTACATGTATGAGAGGCTAGTCAGTCCACAACAATAGCTATTCAAATTGGTCACATTTCAATTCAGTGTACATGCATATAAATGGTGCTAAATAATACCTAGGGGTAAAGAAAATCAAGCCAAAATAGGTTGTGGGATGTAATTGAAGAAATTTGTTTATATTGATTGACAGAGTGTACATTTCTAATATTGGACAAAAGAAAATGGATGGACACGGAACAAAATGAAATTGGTTTGTAATAGATCTAATAAAAATTGTATAGAAATTGCTCATTTCAAACCATGGGAAGTTTACATGGAGAATCGTTTCTTTAACTTTCTGAAATTTATTTCTTCAGACATATTCATGTTGATTAATGGAGACATTTGAAAGAAAGATTTCTCCAGAGATCATAATTTAAACATCACAGGGTTTGAAATGGGCAATTTATGTGAGAAGGTAATTAAGTCTATTTACTAGTAATATATATTTAGCTTTGTTTACATTCTGTAACCTATCAGAGCTAGGGTCCTGAAGGGGCGATCCTAAATCCAAAATCAAAAACCAACTCCTAAATTCCAATTCCATCACGCAATGAGGGCCACAGGTTTGTTAGCCACTGGCTATTAAGTCTGCCATTTTGTCAATGTACATCAAGAATGCTGGCCAAGACTCCTAGAACTTAATGACACTTTTTAACGACTTTAATTATATTGGAGAAAATTGAATCCCATTTCCATGTTGGCAATTTTGTTTTCTATTTATGATGGCCAAATCCCAGTCCCAGTGCTTGAAATCCTATTTATTTTCCCAACCCAAAAGGGCTTACTTCAGCTCCTATTTTACCCTTTACCCTTCCCTGCTATGAGGGAGGGATTGGACTACAAGTACTTTGGAGCACCCTGGCCCAAAAAGTGTGAAGTTTGTCTATGTGGGGAGAAAGGGGGGAGGGGAGGGACGGGGCTTGGATCAGGAAATTTCATACGCACATCTAGTATATCTAAATAAAAGTGGAGGGTGAAATTTGGAAAATTTACTGGTTGGTATTGAATATACTATATTGTTAAATAAACTGACTGTTGTTAATTCCAGACAGCATGGTTGGTGATGTCAATCTATTCTTCAATGATAACGATGAACCGAATACTGCTGAAATTGAAATTATGATAGCAGGTAGCTAATGATAGCAAGTATAAAGAATTGTTTGATTTCTAGCCCTGTGCATAGCAGCACAAGGGGGTGGGTGTGGGGTTTGGGAGGGGTAGGGCGAGGAAAGATGTAAAGAAAAAATTGCATTATAAATTGTCATTTTGTTTTTGAAGAACATTCCTGTAGAAGAAAAGGCTTTGGAAAAGAAGCTGTATACATAATGATGCATTATGGTAAGAAACAATTAATATTGTAAAATTTGTGGTTCCAGAAAATGTCTATACCGTCACCTTGAAGGAAATTAAAATTTCAAAAAAGGTCCCAACACCCCTCTGGAATTTTTAATTTTCTTCCATACAAAACTTGTCCCACCCCTTGGAAGTTTTCGATTTTCTCCATGGTGGGGTATGCGGATATTTTCTATAACCATACAATAATAGAGATGTCAAAAGTAATAAGGAGTGTTCTCAAAGTATTTGCACTACCCCACCTTCCTCCACACAAATTTTTTTAGGGTAGGTTCGAATATACCTACTGTATTTTGCTTGCTTGATTATGCTTTTAGCTTCCGGTCTTCTCAGTTTTCAGTTTTGCCACTGCATAAGTTAAAAAAAATTGACCCCGTTATTCTAGTTATCTCTTGTCACTATAAGTCTCAAGAGAGAGACCTAACAACTTTACTCACATGTTTTTCCTGGTCTACCTGTGTGGAGTAATCTAAAAGGTTTCAGCCTCTTTTTTGTTGTTGTTGTTTTAGGCATAACAAATCTTAAGATCGATAAATTCAGAGCCAAGATTGGATGCAAAAACAAGGCTAGTCTCAATCTTTTTAATAATATGGGATTTCGTACAGTAAGTATAAAAATATTACTTTGAAAAGAGCTGAAATCTCTTTATTGGATATTGAAAAAAGTCAGTTTTTCGTTGATATAGTAGATTTTTTTGCCCCATGTAAGGGAATCCGGACTTATGGTGGATTCCGGATACCAAGCGCTGGATTACGGATTCCAAGGGTCAGGATTCCGGATTCTAAAACTTTTGTATTGCGGATTCTGGATTTCATATCGTTAATTTTCAGATACTTTCTCTGAAAATTATATTTGATATACTTGCCAGTATAAGTAGAATCGTCTATCAATTAAATCAGCATCCGATGACAGATATTCTTGGTGGAGATATTACACAGTGGGAGAGGGGTTACATCGGTTCAGTCTAGGTCGAGGCGATAGCATTTGACTGTATTATTTGAATTTCAAAGTAGCGGATTCCGGATTCCAAAAGGGTGGATTCCGGATTCCAAAGCCTGAATTTTTGTGGATTCCGGATTCCGGATTCCCTTACATGGGGCAAATTTTTCGCGATGAGATTCTTTGATTTTTAATGCGTGTTACATGAGTCAACTTTTCTCTGTTCTTTTCCCTTGAGGTATCAACTAGCGAGGTTTTTCAAGAAAGCACACTAGAACTCCATGTCACGGACTCTTTCCGACAAAAACTGACCAGTGTAACTGATTGCGTGACACAGTACCAGTATCCGTACAATGTGTCGTCATGAAATATTTGCTGGGATCATGCAGGCCCGTCGCTAGGACCGTGATGCATAATTTACAGGCAGTAATCACGTGTATCAGTAACAATCAAAGAGCCGTTATTTCTTATTGCGCATGCTCGACGAGCAAGTAAAGCCCCGTTTACCCTGGCGATTTTTGCGGCGATTCTTGCTGCATTTTTTGTGGCAATTTTCGGAAATATGATGAGATCTTTTGTCTCATCCTTCAAAAGAGACATTCTTCTAGGAAAATCTTGGTGTCCTGAAAAAATTTTTTAAAGTAAATTCTTTACCATTATCTATTATGGACAAAATCGCCGCAAAAATCGCTAGTGTAAACGGGGCTTTACTTGCAAATAATCTAATTGAAGTAAAATAATTTAAATAATAATAATAATAATTTAATTTAATTTAAATAATTTAATTGAGTTCAATTGAAATAACGGCTCTGGGAACGAGATTGTTACAACACTTGCTGGCATGGTATGAAATGATTCCGACTCCCCTTAGTTACCGTTGCTATGTCCCACAAGCTTAACAAATTAACTGGAATATATCTCAGAACTTAAAACTCTGATCGCGGAAAATTGATTATACATTTTTTCAATAGTTTACTGTCTTGAGAATAGAATGGAAAATTTTTTTGTAATCCTTGTAGTACTCTCTAAAACAGACACAAAACTGATGCAACGGTGATTTTGTTATATATTCCCCCGCCTCATCATAAGCACTCTTTGATCCTCTATTTTTAGAATCATTAATTTGACCGTTTGTTTTTCTGCGCGCGCGCACTGCGTTATTCGCTCATGTTTTCTCGTGTTTTACAAAAACGTGAGCAAAAAGTGTATGCACGGGCAGAAAAACGTGATTCTAAAAACCTACACTTACTGTGTTATCCATATTAAAAGATGGATTAAATTTAGAAAACATGATTAATATCGTAATTAACACCAACTTCGTAGTTTACTAATCAGTCGGGAGCAATTAGTTGGGAGATTTAATATTAGGCTAAAACGAAAATCGAAACTATATATCGGTTAGTTCACTAAATAAATAACGTATGCGTTTCATTTGAGAGTCTCCGTATTGTATGAGGGGTTATAGGTGCACTTTAAGCGGTTCGATGATGGTTTAAGGGGTTTGGAAGAACCCCCCTAGATTCGCCCCTGAAAATGTAGTATGACCAATATTGTTGCTGTTAATTTATTTTGGACTTGTGCATGCGTCAATCAAAGAAGCAACAAATGTGCAACTTCTAGAGGTCAAAATATTCATTTCAAGAACATGATTTATTCATTCTTTCAAGACCTCTGCTGTAGTTACTTCGTACTCCAGTTGTTCTTGCAAGGTAAGGTCCGATCGATTGAGGTGGAGTCTCGTCCAGATTGGACTAAAAAAAAAACAAACTCCAGTAAGCTAGATTTGAATAGGTTTGCTATTGGTGAGAAAAATGACAACCACGAGTACCTCTACGGTGGAGAATTCTGCAGAAACGCAGATCCCTGCTCGAAGTCTTTCCGAGATGGCGCGCAACGAACGCGTAAAGAGGAGCAGCACGAGTGCTATGAACACCGCACAGACAGGTAAAAAAAAACTTTTCTCGTTATCATTCCTAACTTAGAATGCTTATCAATCGGCCGTTCACCTTTATTCACACCCGTCCATAATCATTGTACATCCGTCAATAATATTCCTACGTTCGAAGAGGAAAGACCTTTTAGTTACTTCTTTAAAACCGGGCTGATAATCGACTCGTCCAATGATAAGCCGCAAAGCGAAAAAACAAAGGGTTTTTTAATTATTTGAATTTCTTCGAACAATACTGATGAAACGAATTACTTTTCTTCGGCGACTGTACTTCATTGGCGGGCTTAAAAATGAACAAAAACAATACGTGTTCTCTAAGACGGCCGTGGAGAGTGATCAGGCCCTATGATCCTGCAAGAGTTAGATTTAGAACGAACTGCTATTATCCAAGACTCGGTTTCCATATCAATCGAACGAACCATAAAGCCGACTAAAAATAATGTTTGTTTTTTTTGTAATGGCAGGTACACGTGGAGGAAATATTGTCAAAAATAAAAGAACCCGTTACAGCACTTATCAAACAGAAACTCTGAAGAAGATCTTCGAAACAACACAGTACCCAGATTTCGAACAGCTAGCTGCTATTTCACGGGAGTTGGCGCTTGATAAAGAGGTTGTCAAGGTAACAGTTTCAACCCATATTCCTTCTTCTCATTCTACGCATCAGAATTGTATTCTTGTTTGAGTCGACCTCAAGTCTTTATTCAATAGCGAACCATCACCGATGATGCAGTACTGTGTTTTCCCAGTAAAATTACGAATCTTGCACAGTATCTGTTTTAAAGTGTACCACAAGGATTACGAGGAAATTTTTGCTCGTTATTACAGGACTGTAAACAATTGTACATTTTATATTCAATTTTCAAGTGATCAAATTTTTAATTTTTGAGATATTCTGGCTAATTCGTTGAGCTTGTGGACCATAGCAACGGTAACTAAGGAAGGTGGGAGCCGCCAATAGGTTGACCATGATGAGTGTAAATATAATAGCTGTTGTTTGACGTAATGTTTTGCATTTAGGACCTAAAGTTTATCCATTGAATATGAATATTTTTGTGTATAGCTCAAACTGAAACACCACAGCCAAGAAGTAGAAGGGTTTATTGACTTTATTGACAACCTTTCTTTCAGATCTGGTTTAAGAATCGAAGAGCTCGTCAAAAGAGCAAAGAGCAAGAAGATGCATGCAGGCATTTTCTTGAGAGAGAAAGCAGCAGCCTACCAGCCCATTTTCGCTGCCCTATGCCAATCTGTTACTTCCCAATGTATCCTGTAGCTCCATCACCATGGCAACCCATGATGAATTACCATGGTAACACCGCCTTCGGCTTATACAATAGACCGACAAGCATCTTTGAAGGCCCGTTCAATGCCAACCCGTACCAAAATAGGCTGAACGCTGCGGCTGTTGAAGAGCATCGATCAAATGAAYCAGTCGTCCAAAGAGAATTTGATCCACGATCATCACACTAAAAACATTTCCCCAAATATCCCTCCAAACTGCTCTGACTGCATGGCGCATTTCCTAAACATTGCTCAGTTCGTCCGTCACACAAGCTTGTCTCATTCGACTTCTCGCGTACTAGCGTTGATTTGGAAGAGCTGACTTGTGGACAACGTGCTCCCCGCCTGCGTCGTGCGTGTCGAGTATACCATACTGCAAATTCCAATAAATGTAAGTGTTTCTGTCTAAAATGAGTTCCAATTTTCTCATTAGTAAAAAAAACATGTTTATATATATATATATATATATCTATATATACAGCTTTGCAAAAATTATGGCCGCTTCCAATATATATACAAGTATATCAAAAGTATATCAAAAATTATGGGATATCATCCCTGATATTTTTTTCGAGTTATCTATCACTAGGGCTTTCTGAAAAAAATATCAAGAAAGATATCCCGCCGTGTCTAATATACTTTTGATATACCTGTATGTACTGTTTAATAAACGAGCAGGAGTGTTTTATCGGGTATAAAACACGAGGCGTAGCCGAGTGGTTTTAGACCCGATAAAACACGATCTGCGAGTTTATTGAACGGCTTAAAAAACTCCTGATGTATGTTCTCATACTGTACCGAATTCTTTACGAAATGAACCAAGTTTGATAGAGAAAATCCAAGTTAAAGTTTATGCAAATGAAGACGAATCTATATCAGATATAAAACCTCCTTCATGGTCATGATTTCTATTGTGTTTCCTTCATGAATTATTAATGAGTTTTTTAAGTATATTTGAAACGGCCATAATTTTTGCAAATGGCTGTATATATATATATGGACTTGCTTTTCAGGGGTTTGAGGTGAATGAATAATACATTGGTCAGGGTATATATTGTTCACTCATTTATGAACCTATCAATGTAAGTCCCAGGGGGGGGGGGGGGGGGGGGGGGGGGGGGGGGGGTGGGGTATCCGAACAAAGGTGGGGACTTGAGAGCTCACATGTGCCCCTGGGTCGGGGAATTTGATCGCTCATAAAAGCTTACTATACTTATAGTAAATGTATGGTAATTCAGGGGGTTAGTTAGTGCAATTTGATCAGCAACTGCTTCCCCGCCCTGGGGCATTTGAATTTTTTTCTTATGATTTCCCCCCAAATCTCCACCCTTTGCCCGGCTATTCCCCGTCTATTTCACCCGAGATTAGGTGCATTATTCCATAAATTTTCTAGGATCGAAGTGATGAAAACTTTCCTTGACATGCCCGGTGATATATAACTTAGCTAATATGCAAATGTAGTACATTTTGTTGTTGCTTAATTTGCCTTAGCTGGCGCAATAAAGCGATACGGTAACGAGAAAGAATAACGAATCTTATTCTCGAGAAAATGACATGTGGTCTGAAATGGGAAAACATCCAGCCCAAGGTAAAGAGGTCTATTTTCAGCTTGATCGCTGCCCTTTGAAGTTAAACAGACCAGTTAGATAACGCCAATGCGGCCGGCTTAATCAGTAATGATGACCTATTATGTTTGATTTGAATTGCTTCTGAAACCGAATGTTAAAGGAGAGGTCAGTATATATTTATGTATATCGGTGAATCAATTCTTCAGACGGCGTAAAAAGTTAAACTGTGGGTTGATGATTGAGTGAAGGTTCCCTGCTAGCAGAGTCTCTCCTCTTTCTCTCCCTTCTTTTAGGCGGGGAGGAAGAGGGAGACTCTGCCGATGTAGAGCGTTTCCTTTTATACACCGCTATCCACTACGAACGAAAAAGTTTTAAAAGCGGTTTTTAACCAGGTACATGTAATGCGCTACGCAATTATTACACACCGTGGCGCCAAACTTTGTTTGACGAGAGCGGCTGTCAAAATCATGAGAGCGTTGCTAAGTTACGCCACGCAGGCGCAACAAGTATAAAGTCCTACATCAGCAGAGTCTATTTTTCTCACCCCACCAAAACAAAAGGAAAAATATGCTCTGGTCGCAGGGAAGAGGAAGGGGGAGGGTAGGAAAATGTCATCCCCAGGCATTCTCATTTCTCCACCCTCCAAAGACGCTTGCCTTGCACTGCTACAGGCGCAATACTTTGTACGTCAAACAATCCTAAAATGTGCAAATCTATTCCAGTCCATTTCCTATTAATATATTTTGTATTTTTTCATAAGTCAGGATGACGCGCGTGCTGACGAAACGTTAGCTTGCGTAGCGGGGCTCAAGGGGATTGGGCGCCGCTCAACTGGCTAATACAACGTTCCCATCTCACACCAACGTGATGTCCGGGTTTCGATTTCCAAGTGCTCCATTTGAGCTACGTTAGTTGGATTTCTTTTTCCGTCTTTTTTCTTGCCTTCTGCATGGTCTTTCCTCCATGGCCTTTCTTTTCCCATTTCAGACCGTGCTTAATTTCCCGCTGGAGATACGAAATCATTTGTGAATCGCACCTGATCATATTTATTTATTTTCTCAAAAGTTACTTGGGGATGATACTTGAGGTAGAGTGATTTAATGTACCCGTCTCAAAAAGAACTTGGATATGAGAGACTAACATGAAAATACGAAAGAATTCACACTTTTCTCTATGAAATTTGTGACATTTCTTTTGTATTTCAAAGTTAGCATTGCATTCAAGACAATTTTGAGAAGGATCCATTTATAGACTGCGAGCGGTCCCACTTTTCTTTACTCGGCTCCAATCTACGCGCGTCCACAGGAATCCCAAAACTTTCCCTGCCCTTACTGAGTTTGGAGGAAATAGTAGGACCGCTAACAGTCAAACTAAGACGACAGAGAATTATGTCATTATGTCCAACGTCATTACAGCCAAGGTGGATGGAGCCATTGTTGTTCGTTATTATAAACTGACTCGTCTTTTTCATTCCAGTTCAGTACGATGATTTCTGAGAGCTATCTTCGAAATTATGAACCTCATCACCTCTTAAAGCTGGAAAAAACACGCACATTATCTGACTGTTTTCTTCTGTGATGAGCAGCGAATGAGGATCGTGCTCATCCAAAAGGTACAATATACCGTCCTTCTTCACTGGATCGTGTACATCAAACTCCAAGCTTTCTGTCTCGTTATTCCAGGAATAAATTCCACGACCCCTGATGAAGAAATTTGCTTCAATATGATTCCTATAATGCATGGGACAAGGAACATTAGCACTTGGCATTGTGTTGGTAATTGTGATATTGAAGCCGTCAGCTTCTCTCAAGAACCTTCTACTGTATCCACGTTTGAAGTCGACCTCCCTATCCGTTCCCAAGATGCTTTTCAAGCCTAAAAAGTAGGGATCAGGCTGTATATCGAGTAGGGCGGGTACCGACACGACTGCCATGCAGGTACAAGACTCCTGTACTTGGAAACGTGCCTTCGTAGACGAGGAAAGAGCAAGCAACGTGTCCCCGGTCAAGGTAAATGTCGTCTTTTCATCATCTTCCAAAGTAATAAAACATTTGCCTATAAAAATAATTAATAACATAATCTTAGATTCAACATTTTATACCTAGCATTTATGCGAAACGCATCTCCACTGACTTTGACTGATCGCCTAAAACAGATCACTAAAACATTTCTACAAGCTGGATACTATCCGAAACGTTTCATTCAATCTAGCATCGACAGCTTTCTACAGAAACAGGGCGAGGAACTGAGAAATAATCATTCCAGACTATCTTTTTGATGAAAGGAACTGAAGAAAGTGTTCATTAAACTTCCCTATTGTACAGACAACGAACACCTTTATAGTCGACGTTTCTTAAAGAAACTTAACCAGTTTACTTACTGAAAATTTATGTTCATTATCCTCTGGCAAACTAGGAAAATCAAGAGCCTCTTCAAACTAAAAGGCTCCAACAAACGTCAATCATCTGTCATATATAAAGCAGAATGTTCATGCGGAGAAACATACTGTAAGACTACGGAACGCAAGGGATCTCTGGTCTGTCGAACCACTCGTTTTATTGAACCTCGTCTTAGACGTTTATACAAGTTAAATGTCAGATCTAACTACACAAACTAGAGCAGAGTCAGGTTGACCAGAAGGACTTTCCTTAGTCGGTGTGGCTGTCAGTCGGCATTCCTTACTCGGCCACTGTCCTTACTTAGGTCTGTGCCTCCCAGTACAACACGAACTACAAACTTARCCTTGTTCACAACTATGTACAAGATTGAATGCACAGAAATAGATAAATTACTCGTCCTTATATAACTAGGTAATCCAATCTGAAATTCTTTTTACATCACGTATCTAGACAAGTTCAACCTGTTTGTAGAACAGGAAACTACAAGTAGATCTGCAAATCAAAACCGTCTTGGTTACTAAAGTCTAAAGTCTACATGCTAGACTTCCAAAATCATACTAGTATATAAACAAATCATTCCTAAAATTCTCGTGCATAACAATACATTGGTGAGGCAATGAGAAATTTTGATGTTCGTCCTTCTGGTCAACCTGACTCTGCTCTAGCTTGTGTAGTTAGACCTGACACTTAACTTGTATAAACGTCTAAGACGAGGTTCAATAAAACGAGTGGTTCGACAGACCAGAGATCCCTTGCGTTCCGTAGTCTTACAGTATGTTTCTCCGCATGAACATTCTGCTTTATATTCGTAAGTCGAAACATGAGAATCCCTTACATAATTCACAATCAGCACGTCATTTATCAAGTCATCCAAACCATTCGTACACATGGAATATTCTTCACAAAGAAACATCCTTATTCAAAAGAAGAAGAATTGAATGACTCTTGATAGGGCACCGAAGTGATGATCCGTCACACAATATTATTTTCACGTTATCATAATTTCGATCCTCGATTTCGATAGGAAATCAAGAAAGACGCTAACACGCCAAATTTCAGGAGATTTGGTTGAATAGCGACAGAGATACGGCCGTTTGAATATATAATTTCCCCATACAAATCTCTGTATTTTTGCCCTGGTTCAATACGTAGTGAACCAGGGCGAAAATACAGTGATTTGCATGGGGAAATTATATATTCAAACGGTCATATCTCCGTTGCTTTTTAACCGATATTCTTAAAATTTGGCTTGTTAACGTCTTTCTTGATGTTCTATCGAAATTGAGGATCGAAAATTGTCAAAAGCAAAATTTTGTTTTTCGTGACCACACTTCGCCTCTATTGCACGTAAACAGCCCAGCCTAAACAAAGAAGTCCAATGTTTTATCGCCAGCCTTCATCCCTCTAGGATTTCATGAACTACTTAAACTGTTTTATTCAAATTAACATCATATTGAAGATGGTTGTATCGTCGTGTAAGGAAATTGTCAGGGGAATTCTGTTCAAATTCAAATTTCGAGTAATTGGCTAGTAATCGTACCCTACGATAGCATAAATTAAACTATAATAAATATTTATGTACACATGCTGATGACACACCGTTTAATCAGAGACCACCCAACCGAATTCGCTTCGTAGTCTAGGGGTTAGGTTTAGGTTTAGGGTTGGGGTTGGCATTGTAGTAGTTCTTTGGTGCCGAAGGTACCGAGTTCAATTCTTGGTGTCTTCACTTAATTTTTTTTCTAAGTGAGGAGAACCAAAATTTCTAAGTCCCACTCGTGTGTTCAGAAACCTATGACATACTTCGTTAATCCGTACACGACGATAGTACCTTGAAGATGACCTTCACTTTCGAAAACGTTTTATTTATAAACTTTTAAAAGCATCATTTCTATCCTTGTAAATATTTATATATATATATATTAAAGATATTTATATTAATATTATACAGTCAATGTCATTGTCAAGATTTCTACTGTACCTTGAATGCAGTAGTAGATATGATTATGCCCATCGTGCAGAGGTACCAGATGGCCTTGATCTTTCTGTGATAGGTTAACATGGCTAACTGTAAAACCCACATTGTCTTCTAGAGAAGTTAGTATTTTGCCTCTCAACTCGCTTTGACCAAGTTTCTCTTCTGGGGTTTGCGAAACGATGCGAGTCTTCATGGTGAACTTGACTTTCGTGCACTCTCCTAGCAGTATCAACTTTTCTTATAATTGGTTCTCGAAACTCACTCGGTACTAGTAAGAACCTGTTTGAAAAAACCTGTTTTTCCTTGAAACTCGATCCAGTTCGCTGAACCGTATAGTAGAGTTCAACTCAGTCGTAGTACTGGAGTTTCTTTTATCCAGAACCTCTTATGCACGGATATTATGCACTATCCCCGGAAAAGGGCGAGGAATTGCAGTAACACGGCGAGACCGGTATATAATGTGCATCTCGTACCTCGAGATTTGTATACAAAGTATCGATCAACGTTCCCTGCTAGCAGAGCCTATTTTCCTTTTGTTTTGGTTGTGAGAAAAATAGACGTTATTTCTGTCGCGCATGCGTGGCGTAACTTAGCAACGCTGTCATGATTTTGACAGCCGCTCTTGTTAAACAACGTTGGGCGAGACGGTGTGTTACATTTGCTCATGCGCACAACATGTACTCGGTTAAAAACCGGTTTTAAAACTGGTTACGTTCGTCCACGATCGTGGACTGCGGTGTATTCAAGGAAACGCTCTACATCGGCAGAGTCCCGGGGGGGGGGGGGGGGGGCCCCCATCCGAACTATACGGGGATGAACTGCCATTTAAAGAAGTCATCAAACCCACTTTA